AATTTTTGATTAATCAAATTTAAAATGAAAAATTGCCTAAAATTCATATTNGGTGAAGAAAAGCAATGATGAGACAAAAGCTTTACATGCCATCGCAATGGCAGTAGATAATTCACAATTGGTCTACATCAAGAAGTGCACTACAGGCAGTGACGCCTGGAAAATTTTGAAGTTAAATCAACGTAGTAAGACGGAAGCTGAACGACGACAACAACCAACTCCAGTTGTTCGTTCGGAAATTCAAGTACCAGATGCACGAGTCAGATCGGAAGTTACAAATGTTGCGTTAAATGTTCAACAAAAAATTAATTCTTGGGTAATCGACTCTGGTGCAACCAGTCATATGTGCAACGACGATAGAGTTTTTTCAGAAATAGTTTATAACAACTTTGGTGCAATAACTGTTGCAGATGGAAATAACATTTGTATTACAGGAAAAGGAACTGTAAAAGTGACTCTCGAGGAAAACGAAAAACAATTTGAAGCTGTCATGGAAGATGTAAATTATGCTCCAGAATTAAGAGATAATTTGTTGTCAGTGAGCCAGCTAACTAAAAAAGGATACGAAGTTAGATTCACAAAAGACGAATGCTACATCAAGGATGGAAATGAATTATTGCATATTGGAACAAGAGTCAACGAACTTTATGAATTAAAGGAAACAGCAAAGTGCTATGTTGGTGTCATGGAGGAATTCTGCGTCCATGAATGGCATAAAAAGATGGGACATAGAAATTTGATGGACATTAAAGAAATGGCTAAACATGGATTGAAAATAAAATCATGTCAACACTCTGATGTTTGTGAGAGCTGCATAAAAGGAAAAATGAGCAAGCAGCCTTTCCCTAAGCATGCAACTCCAACGGAAAACAAATTGGATTGTATTGTAACTGATGTCTGGGGACCAGCACCAACTCAATCTCGTGGAGGAAACAAATACATGGTAACTTTTAAAGATGTTCATACCGGATATTCTGAAGTAGAATTTATCAAGGAAAAAAGTCAAGTTGCAGAAGTGACAATTAATTTTATACGAAAATTAAAGACTCAATTAGGAAAAGTACCGAAAATTCTTCGAAGTGACCGTGGAACGGAATATGTGAACTGCACATTAAAAGATTTTCTGAAATCTGAAGGAATTCAACAGCAGCTGACTGCTGGATACGCTCCACAACAAAACGGTGTAGCGGAACGACTTAATAGAACACTACTGGAAGCTGCTAGAAGCATGTTAATAGCATCAAAATTACCAAAGAGTTTTTGGGCTGAAGCGGTAAACACAGCAAATCATTTCATCAACCGTATCATCAACAAGAAAACTGGTACTTCACCATACGAAAAAATGTTTGAGAAAAAAGCATCTTTTTCGGAATTTCATGAGTTTGGCGAAGACGTTTACGTTATGACACCAAGTGAAAAACGAAAGAAACTTGATGATAAAGCTGTCCGAATGAAGTTTATTGGATATGATGATCAGTCAAAAGCTTACAGAATTGTTGATGGAAACTTCGGTGTGAAAGTAAGCAGAGAAGTCACGTTTGTCGGAACCAACAAACCGTTCAAGAAAAGTAGAAAAGAAGCAAATACTCAATCATTTACTGAGGAAATTAAAGAGAAAACAGTTCCACAGGAAGTAGAATTTTACTTATGGAATATCAACTCTGAAAATAATGAAAGAGAAAACAATGAAGACGAATTTTTTGATGCTGAAAATAATACTGACAACAGTTCAGGAGGAGAAGATAACAGTTCAGGAGGAGAAGATTTTGAAGAAGAAAATACGGATAATGATCCGGAAATTGAACCAAGAAGATCAACTAGACGAAACTTTGGTCAACCACCAATCAGATTAAATGATTATGTTACATACAATGCAGAATGTATGGAAAGAGAACCAAGAAACTTTAAGGAAGCTACAAATTCAAAAAATTCAGATGAATGGAAATTTGCAATGCAGGAAGAACTCCGAGCAATTATTAAAAATAAAACTTGGGACGAAGTTGATTTACCCAAAGGACGTAAAGCTATAGGATCCAAGTGGGTTTACAAAAACAAAACTGATTGTGAAGATCAAATAATTCAACGTAAAGCAAGACTCGTGGCACAAGGATTTACTCAAAAATACGGAGTAGACTATGACGAAATCTTTGCACCAGTAGCAAGAACGACAACTTTACGACTGCTATTATCAGTAGCAGGAAGCAGAAACTACAAAGTTGATCATTATGACATTAAGACGGCATTTCTTAATGGAAAATTGGAAGAAGAAATTTATCTCAAACAGCCTCCTGGTTTTCAATATGGAAATAAAGTCTTGAAGCTAAAAAAGACTTTATATGGTTTGAAACAGTCAGCTAGAGTGTGGAACAAGACGTTACATGATGCATTAGTACAAAATGGATGCATTCAAAACAGAACGGATAGATGTTTATACTCAAGAAAGGAAAACGGAAAAGTTTGCTACCTGCTAATTCATGTAGACGACATTTTGATTGCTGGAAACAACCAAAACATGATGGATCATTTAATGCAACAAATTAACAAAAAGTTTGAAATTAAAAACTTAGGAGGAGCAGCTCACTATCTTGGAATCGATATCACACAAGATAGCGAAGGAAGTTTTTTCATTTCACAAAGAACTTACATTAAAAAGATCATCAGTGAAGCAGGACTTGACGAAGGAAAGATATCAAAGTTTCCATTAGACACTGGATACTTCAAACAAAGTGGAAAGTTACTTCCATCAAACGATCAATACAGAAAGTTGATCGGAATGTTATTGTACTTGTCGACAAACACTCGACCAGACATTGCAGCAGCTGTAGCAATCCTAAGTAAGAAAGTTGAGAAACCTCGTGATAACGATCTTACTGAAGTAAAAAGAGTGATTCGTTACTTAAAAGGAACTTTGGATATGAAACTTCGTTTGAATCAACCAAGAAGCGAAGGAAAGATTGAAATTTATTCAGATGCTAGTTGGGCAGAGGACCCGGAAGACAGAAAATCCAACAGTGGTTATTTCATTGAAGTCAATGGAGGTGCAATATCCTGGTGCTGCCGCAAACAAGATGTAATAGCTTTGTCATCGGCAGAATCTGAACTTGTAGCATTGACCGAAAGCTGCAAGGAATTTACTTGGATCAAAAGAATATGTAAAGGAATGGACATCAAGTTGCCACAAACACCAATAGTTCATACTGATAGTCAGAGCTGTATTAGCATGATCTATAACCAGCGTTTCAGCAACAGATCAAAGCATATCGATACGAAATACTACTACATTAGAGATCAAGCTGATGTAGGAAATGTGAAATTACAATATGTGGACACCAATCAGAACGTAGCAGACCTTCTGACTAAGCCTTTAGGTGGAATCAAAACAGAAAGATTCAGAAAGATGACGGGACTGACGGAATGCACTGACGAAAAGGAAGAACTGGAACAAAAAGCCAGGAAAGCCAACCAACAACGTACTACTCAACAGTTGAGGAGGAGTGTTGAATATCATAATATAAAGGATATTCGACAAGCAACTGTTGGAAGCAACCGCATTGTTGCTTACCCCGTTTTTAATGTTGCTTAAAAGATATTCACTTGTATCTTTAGTCATCGATTTATCCTTGTACTTTAAACCTCGTGTGCGATAAATAAAATCATCATTAAAATATTTAAATCGAATATTAAGTTGTTTTTAATCGCAACAAAGCTCAATCAACTGAACATTCTACAGGTTATGGGCCCAGAACCCCAAAGCGCAACGAAAAAACTAGTCAAATTCAAGTGAAATAAGAATTTCATAATCAACACGTGCTGTGAAAAATTAATTCCACAAAAACAGTGTTTTCTCATCGATCAAAGTCAATTAACTGATCAAGAAAACACTGGAAATACTTCTGTGATATCAATTATACAAACAGCAACTGTAAAATCAAGTTTTTTCGTCGATTCAACAAAACTTCTAGAAAATTCTTCGTGAGATCCAGAATAGAAATTTCACATCCAGATAACCTAAAAAGGGAATAACTCAAGAAAAATTTTTCTGAACGTAGATGAACAATCGTAGAAGTGTAAAAAAACGATTGGAAACCAGTGAACCACCAAGAAAGTAATTCATCCTAAAAGTCAGAATGGAGGGAAGCAGTAAAGAATATAGAAATCTTTATAGAATCGAGAAGCTAAACAACGAAAATTATTCGTCTTGGTTTTGTCAAATGAAGTTGATACTCATGCGTGAGGAAGTTTGGTATTTGATGGAAGATTTAAAAAACGAAGATACATCAAATGCACCAGCAGAAGCAGCAGAACAAATGGTGAAGAAAAGCAATGATGAGACAAAAGCTTTACATGCCATCGCAATGGCAGTAGATAATTCACAATTGGTCTACATCAAGAAGTGCACTACAGGCAGTGACGCCTGGAAAATTTTGAAGTTAAATCAACGTAGTAAGACGGAAGCTGAACGACGACAACAACCAACTCCAGTTGTTCGTTCGGAAATTCAAGTACCAGAAGCACGAGTCAGATCGGAAGTTACAAATGTTGCGTTAAATGTTCAACAAAAAATTAATTCTTGGGTAATCGACTCTGGTGCAACCAGTCATATGTGCAACGACGATAGAGTTTTTTCAGAAATAATTTATAACAACTTTGGTGCAATAACTGTTGCAGATGGAAATAACATTTGTATTACAGGAAAAGGAACTGTAAAAGTGACTCTAGAGGAAAACGAAAAACAATTTGAAGCTACTATGGAAGATGTAAATTATGCTCCTGAGTTAAGAGATAATTTATTGTCAGTGAGCCAGCTAACTAAGAAAGGATACGAAGTCAGATTCACAAAAGACGAATGCTACATCAAGGATGGAAATGAATTACTACATATTGGAACAAGAGTCAACGAACTGTATGAATTAAAAGAAACAGGAAAGTGTTATGCTGGTGCCGTAGAAGAATTCTGTGTCCATGAATGGCATAAAAAGATGGGACATAGAAACTTGATGGACATTAAAGAAATGGCTAAACATGGATTGAAAATAAAATCATGTCAACACTCTGATGTTTGTGAGAGCTGCATAAAAGGAAAAATGAGCAAGCAGCCTTTCCCTAAGCATGCAACTCCAACGGAAAACAAATTGGATTGTATTGTAACTGATGTCTGGGGACCAGCACCAACTCAATCTCGTGGAGGAAACAAATACATGGTAACTTTTAAAGATGTTCATACCGGATATTCTGAAGTGGAATTTATCAAAGAGAAAAGTCAAGTTCCAGACACAACGATTAATTTTATAAGAAAACTAAAAACTCAGTTAGGAAAAGTACCGAAAATTCTTCGAAGTGACCGTGGAACGGAATATGTGAACAGCACATTAAAAGATTTTCTGAAATCTGAAGGAATTCAACAGCAGCTGACTGCTGGATACGCTCCACAACAAAACGGTGTAGCGGAACGA